CCCACAGGGGCAGTTCTACCCTGTCCTTTAGGGTCTCTGAGTGGGCATCAACTCCATGGCAATGAGTGAGTGGAGTGAGTGAGTGGAGTGAGTGAGTGAGTTGAGTAAGTGAGTGAGTTAGGAGTGAGTGAGTGAGTGGTGTGAATGAGTTGCTTAGCTGGAGGAGACCAGATACCATGCCCCATTCTTTTTACACTGACTAATTTTCTCAAGGTTGCCCAACTGATAGGACTGTAAAGAAGCTAAGTTTGCTTCTCCTTTTAACATAATAGTTTAAATAATTTTATTTTATTTTTTTGGTTACTGAAAATAGAAGCAGCAAGGAAAGCATACCAGCCATTTCTACATGAACAACCTAGTCACACCGCTGGACTTGAGTTGTGCAACCAGCCTCATCCCTCTTTTCTGAAATGTTGCTTCTGCCTTAAGAGAAACTCACTGGCCCTGAAGCCACCTGCCTAACCTTTCCAGTTGCTGGTGTCAGTTTGATCCTATGCAAATAGTTATTGAAAATGGCACAATGCTCAAGACAGACAAACTTTACTAGTCAAATGATTTGCTTTAAAGAAGACTTCAGGTAAATGTTCATTGAAGGTTTAAAGGTGGCCACAGGGCAGTAGTTTCAGGGGTTCATCCACTCTCCATGGCTCTAGAAAGACTAGAAATCCAAAAAATTCTGTGTTCTGTATTCCCCTCTACCTATTGATCAGGATTCTTCGATAGAATCTTTGATCAAAATGTGTAATGTGTAGTAGAGCTTAAATTCTGATCACCTCAGTTTGCAGAAGGCTATGGATGACAGTGCCAGCCCAAAATCCATTTGCAGAGTGTCCATATACATGAGGCCTCCTTTGAAGGCTTTCTGATCTTTAACCAAGGATGTGAATCATCTTGGCCTCAAGTCCAATGTATTGGAAAGTAAATGACCTCCACCTCTTTCCAGACAGGCCAGTCTCTCAGGGGCTTTCCTGGGTATATCCTCAATGGAGATTACCCTACTGGGGACAGGACAAGGGGTCCTATCATCCTGGGTCTTGCCTTATCACTACTGTCCTGACTCTTGTGGTCAGGAGGGTGTGGACCAATCTGGTCACCTTTCCTATCTAACAGTGTGCATGTCCCAGTCATAGTCCCGTTCCTGCCTTTGTAGTCCTACCTGTAACTATGATGTATTGATGTGCCACCAATCATGAATTTGTGACAATTCCCTTTAAAACTGTGTGTGTTGACAATTCCCTTTAAAACTGTGTGTGTATCCTCAGACACCATTGTGACCTGGTGCTAATGGCCTCCCTCACCTGTGTCGTTACGTGGTCTCTGTCCCTTTTAAGACTTAATGAATGGAGGGCCAGTCCCAATCCCAACTACTACGTGGACACCTGCCCCTCCCCCAGAAGAATTTATTTCAAAGGGTGGCACTGAATATGCACCTCCGGGAGAGGGACATATCTGATTGGA